TTTGGCGGAGGCGCGGAGAGCGCGCGAGCCGAAGCATTGCCAGTCACGACTAACCGATTCATGATTTATTAGAGATTTAATTATCGAATGGCGAATTCGGAAATGATCGCTTTAGTACATTCGGCAGGCAATTATACAATAATAATATTAATAAATAATATTAATAGCGGGCCAAATCGGCTGCCAGGCCACTGGGAATTGTCCCGGTTCTCCCGATGGCCCGTCCGTGCCTGATTTCCACAGACACGTAGAACGTGCAGGATTCATATATTGTCTTTTTGCTGCTGAATATTTACAGACACTAGTCCATATCGCGTTTTGATTCAAGTGTACTGACCTACTTTTGATTTATTCGTCCAAAATGTGGCATATTCTGTCACGTTAGGCTATAGGACTTCCGTTTTTATGACTGCTACAAACCAGTCTGTGTTTTCTGCATCGCGGAAATTATAGGGCCGTATGTCTCAGAGTAGTCAGTGCAATTTGGGAAAGAAATCAATTAAATCTGTATGTGGATGTGTGTAAATATTCAAATGTAATCCCCTTTGTAATCGTTAACATTTTCATAAGTAACTGTAATTTAATTACACATTTTTTCTTAGTAACTGTAACTGATTACAGTTACATTTATTTTGTAATTAAATTACGTAACGCCGTTACATGTAACTAGTTACTCCCCAACACTGCACATGTGTTTACAGTAGTTGGAGGTCAAGTTGTCGCTCCGTCTATCAGGCAGATGTTAACCACCCCACCTACGCATGTCAGGTTACTCGCGAGTCTGTGCTGGACATTTGACCACTGAAGCTGAAGAAGGAGAGGCACGAAGGTCACAGTGTGTATTTGGTGATGGCAATATGTGAAAGTCTCTGTGTTTGTGTGTCAGTAAAACATTTTGTGGAACCATACACTGTATGAACTTGCACATAAAAAAAATATCAACAGCTGTAGAACTAAAAATATTTTTTTTGATCTCTTAAACCATTTCTTACTTATCTTTTATTAGAGGTATAATAGCATCTTGAATTGCTATGATGTGTATATTTTCCTGTGCAACAGTGGAACTGTTCAATAGTTATGTTTAATCAATACTAGCAAAGAGTATATATATATATATTTATAATTATAATTAAATATATTTATTATACGTTTTGCCAAAATTCTAAATTGTTCTCGAGACCTCTATGTTTTGTGTATTTTCCTGATATATGGCTTACTACCTTCTGGGAAGCAAAGTGAAGCAGCTTAATTGATGTTAACAAATACTCATTAGTGGAGAAACACCAACAGTGGATATTTTCTTCTTTATCTGACTCATCGATTTCAGGTCTTGGAGTCTCTGCTGATGGGTTGAATCAGGTGTGTTTGATTAGGAAAAGTTCAGAAATGTGTTGCCAGGAATGAGGTATGCATTGTAACTGACAGCAGTCGATGTACATGCTCTGAATTTATTCTATGATCGGCACAGCTGTACCTCGGTACATACTGCATGTCTGAAGTTTACAGGTAGCCTGAGCAAGCATATGCATAATGGATTTCAGCCAAAAAAGAGATTCTGTGGGTTATATTTACGCTGAGTTGGAAACATTTATTTTGACCCCTACCTTCCTTACCTTCTGTTGCTACAGTTATTTCTGAAGGAGAATCTCCAGACTGTGTTGAGCAAAGAGAAGGGTCTATGGAAAAATAAATCTGTTCATAGAGCGGGCTGCCAACATTTTTGCAGAAGTAGTAATCCAACACTGAACAAACACAGACCTGCCTACTCATTCAGGTTTCTATGTGCCTTTACTAGTCTGACCGTCTGCCAGAGAAAATGTGCTCTTAAGGGCCATGTTACGAGACACTGATTATGCATTAACCATTAAGAGGCTTTGTCTTTTTGCCAATTCTATGCAACATTTCCATGCATAGTTTTCACAGTCTATCTGAATTATCTTGTGCATGAACAGGTCAATCGTTCAATGGTTTCATAGCTCAGCGTTGTCTATTTAAAGACAGATGAAACTTCCTCCTCAGGGCTGTGGAAAGAGACAAATGTTTCCTTTCTTTTCTGTACAAACGTCCAGTATTTCAGCAGTTTGTCTGGCAGGAGCAGGTTATGATAGACATGAAGCTGTTGAAATCTTTAAATTCTTGTTTAAAAAAAAAAAAGAGAAAAAGGCTTAATATCAATAAGATTTGTTTATGGACAGTGACATTAACATGAACTCTGAGGCCTAGTCGGGCGACAGAGAAGTAGGGAAGGGACATAAAACTGCCATCTGTGTTTATTTTAATTAGCAATGAAAGATGTAGAATGCACTGCATGTTAGCATACTTACAAGAATTTATTTCATTGCAGAAATAAAAAATGCTTTAATGGAAACCAACTGATTGTCATCATGCCAAAATTGAAGAGAGTCTTCAATAAATAAACATTTTGATGCACGTGTTGATTGAAATACTCACACTAGTGTGTACATGCAATAGCAGTGTAATTACAATAACTTGATTTTCACTAACAAAATGGCAAGATTTTGGAAAGATTAACAAATCAACATTGTGAGTGATATTGCTTCATTATAGCTTATCCAGATCTGTGACAGTGACTCACATATGGGATGGTAAAACAGTTTTAGGAAGTCTGAGAAACATTAGGAAACTGGTTTCCAAGCAGAATCAGACTGTTTTGTCAACAGTTTAATGATTTGGCTATTTTTGTTTTTATAACATTAAGATTTAAGAGAGAGTGTTAAGAGCATGTGGGAACAATTATTAATCCTTGCAAAGTAAATTAACCTTTTGTTGTCATTGGTTTTCAGTAATGCATACAATCTAATCACTACAGATACTGGCATGCAATTCTCAATTGCACCTGTAAGAAAAATTATAAATCAAAATAATTATTGATGCGACTTATAGTGTAAAGATATGCACAGACTCAGCAGTTTGATGGCACTTTGATGAATAATGACAACAGTCCAAGTCAGCCATACTAAACATGCCACACAGGAGTGTGTGTGTGTGTGTGTGTCTACCTAACTAACCAACCATATTTTGGGGACAAATTTGTACCCAGAAGTGATCTAAACCTGTCAAAGTCTCCCAAATCCTCCTTTCTTACCCTTCAGTCTGTTCCCGCTCATCGGTGTTGCTCACTGTGAGATGTGTGCTCATGCTCCTGCTCCACTGCTCCAAGTTCTTTTGATTATTATATCCATATCATAAAAACCTTTCACAAAATGTATTAAATAATGCTTGAGCAATACCATATAGTTATAAAATAATTCAAAATACACATTTGGATGAAGAATGCATTACCTAATTATGTATTTATTTATGTATGTAAACGGAATAATTAATCACGCATGTTTTTGTGACCCTCACCTGAGATGCTGAATATTTAGTCATTATCATGCATTTTATGGTTGTGACAGTGCATTAACGTAGCAATTATGGCGCAAGAAACATTGCATGAATAAAAACTATTCCGCAATCCAGTCAAAACCATGCAACCCAGCTCTGTTTTCATTATGAGATCCATATGCTATTCTGCATGACACCATGGACAATGTTTAAGAAAACATTGCAAATATAATTTTTGTGAGTAAAACTCTGCATTAAGGCTGCAGCTTGTTAAAATATGATTAGGAGTAGCTGTGACAGTCAGTAATCATGTATGAATTCATAGGAAATTGCGTACTCAGGTGCACACAGAGCACATAACTACATGATTATATCCACTGCAAAGCTGTGCATCCTAAACAACTTTTACAATCTGACACACCCATTTTACGTCTCTGTCTGAAGCCACTTTTCTTTCTTTCTTTTTTTAATGTTTATTTATTTATTTATTGTGAATTGGAATGTGTGCAAAGGATTATGGGTAACTGGAGGATGCAAAAGATACAGTTAAATGCATCCTTCAAAATACACCACAAGAAAGCTACAAAACAAAAGCTGCCTTCCAGTGATCATTCAAAAGTGGGTCCACTTGATGACTTGGCAGCTAAGATATAAAGTCTTTTAGCATTATGTTTGAGAATCACCCAAAATGTGCAGTGAGAACAAATCATATATTTGTTCATGACTTGTATAACACGTTCTGTGTAATAGGATGATATTTATCATACAGTATGTTCTTTGTACTGCCAAAGGATGTCAATTTCCCCAAGCTGAAGGTTTTATTTTTTTCCTTTCACAACCTAAAGTTTTTCTTTTTTTTTTTGCCACCGTTGTCTTTGGCTGCTCGCTGGGTGCTTTCAGACATTAAGGCAGAATTTTCTATAAAGATGCTTTGAAACAACAGATTGTTCAAAGCACTACATTTTTGAAAATTAACATTGATGCTATTTAAACACATATTTAAATTCAAGGTCAAATGTGTTTCACCATTGTTTTTTTTTTCAGTGGTTTTTGAGTCACAAACTCTGTTTGGCTCGGTCAGCACAAAAGATGTTGAACTAATGCACAGTTGACGTAACAGCGGATTTTAGACCGTTTTAAACTTCTCCTTGTGTCTGCATGGCATGGCCAGAAACTAAAAGCAGAAGGGAGAAAGTGAGATTCATTTCCTTTCAGAAAGACCCTAAAATCAAGCTTGTTTCCTAAAACCATGAAGTGACTCTAGACTTATTTCGAGTAAAACTCGTCACATTTTATCCTGGTGTCTTGTTGAGGTAGGTGTTACATTTTGAATAATACAATGACACTTTACTAAATCTAGTTTCAAAACAAGAAACACAAAATGTTTTACGGTGTGCAGTTATGAGTACTGATGTCTTTATTTAGGATTAATACACTTACTAACCTCTTTTACTCTCCACTCCTCTAGATGCTATAAAAAAAAAGAAAGAAAGATATATTCATTACCTCAAATGTTTAATGTTGTACATTATATATCAAATAATTCAAATACTGTAATACTTTTGTAATATTGTATAAACAAATGAATAAATAAATAAATGTATGTATTATAGTATTGATATTAGATTTGTAATGTGAGTATAAAGTCTTTAAGAAAGTAACATTCTTCTAAAATCACTTCAAATGGCTTAATCTTCTAAACCAATGACCTCAACCATAAACACTAACTACTGCAAAAAGTAGTAAGGTCACTAAGCTTTTTGTCTCGCATAGAAAATTATAAAATAAATATCAAGTATCTGTCACAATAGGAGTTGAACTTTCTTTTCTTTGTTATAGACATGGCATTGGAATGGCAGCTTGAAATTTCCACATTATTGCCAGCTTGCTTTAGTTACTAGAAGTAAGGTGTCGTGATTTTGATAATTCAACAATCAGACTCCTTTCTATTATACACTTAAACTATGAGTCAAGTATATTGCAGCTAAGGTTCTGCTCTTCTAAACATAGCCAATGTGTGTTTTCTGTGACAGAAGTTGCACATCTATGGAGCTCACAACAGCGCTGGCACTCGTCACTGACTCCAACCAGACCGTCAAGAACGAGTCATCTGTGGCCTGTTCGCGCGAGAGCGCTCTGAAGACAACCGTGTTCCCTCTTCTCTACACCGTGCTCTTCATCCTGGGCTTGTCGCTGAACAGCCTGGCAGCAATGGTGTTCCTCCGAATCCCCAGTAAATCTCACTTCATCATCTATCTGAAGAACATCGTGGTGGCCGACATTATCATGACCCTCACCTTCCCCTTCAAGATCCTCGCCGATGCCAACTTGGCATCTGTCGGCGAGCATGTGTTCGTCTGCCGCGTGTCATCCGTGCTCTTCTACCTCACCATGTACATCAGCATCCTCTTCTTCGGCTTGATCAGCATCGATCGCTGCAGAAAGACCATGTGGCCGTTTGTGGGCACCAGCCCTAGACGCCTGCTGCACAGAAAGCTCCTCTCCGGCTTCATTTGGATGTCGCTCTTGGCTCTTTCTCTGCCCAACGTAATCCTGACGAGCCGGCCCAACACTTCGAGCCGCTTTAAATGCAGTGACCTCAAGACAGAGATGGGACTGAAGTGGCACGAGCTGGTCAATCACGTGTGCCAGGTGATCTTTTGGGGGAACCTCGTGACAGTGATAGTATGCTACACGCTCATCTCGAAAGAGCTCTACAAGTCTTATGCCCGCACACGAGCTCAACACCAGGCAAGGCCAGGAACGAACACCCCTCAGAAAAAGAGCATTCAAGCCAACGTGTTCCTGGTGTTGGCGGTCTTCTTTGTTTGCTTCGTCCCCTTCCACTTCGCCCGAGTGCCGTACACCATCAGCCAGACCCGAGGACGCATGTTCGATTGCCAGCAGAAGCTGTTTTTCTTCCAGCTGAAGGAGAGCACGCTGTGGCTGTGCTCCCTTAACTCTGTGCTGGATCCGCTCATCTACTTCTTCCTCTGTAAGTCGTTCAGGAGCTCACTGTTCAACACCATGCGTCTGTCTCCGGGCCGCTGCAGGGCGCTCAGGGAGCTCGGCACAGACTCGGCCAGCACTCCTCAGACGTGACGGACAAACAGTCTTTCTGTGCTGCTGGAAACACTCTCATCAATGTGAAAATTATAGGGTTCTTCTACACTAATAATCTTACTGACATCAATATTCTTCTGTGTGTAAACATATTTTCGTGCTCAGAGCTGGGCAGTGACTGATCACATATAATCTGGATTAGTTAGGGCTGCGTTTCCCAAAAAAAGTACATCGTAGACCCACTGAAACCAATGGAGCTATGATCAACTTAAAGGCACAATATGTAAGATTTTTTTATTAAAATATCCAAAAACCACTAGAACAGTGTTATATATTTTGCTGACTTGTGTACTTACATTATCCCAAATGTTTCGAAGAATGTTTAAATCCAGAGAA